GGACAAGAGAAGCACCAGCTTGTAAGCTATTCCCATAATAAAACTTTGACTTTGACATTTCAATGGATTTCTGACACGTGAAAATGGGTGTAATGGAAACCCCTGAAGCTTTCTTCAAAGATGGGAGAAGTTCTTGCAATTCGATTGAAGTCCAACCGAGTATCAAACCGGCAAACCTTGGATAAAAGTGTTGGCTGAAAAAATGTCTGTTGATTTGTAGGGATGTAAAAAAGGATTATTTCTGGTACAACGCGCTTATGTGACAATTTAGTGTCACTTGTTAGCCCAGATTGAAGAGTAAACAAAATAATCGCCATTGTGAATGCGCAGGCTAAAACATCGCGTTAAACAAAACTATTAAAACTCGTGTGTCGCAAAACAGCGAAACTTGTACGACAACCAAATTTGATCTTGTCAGCGCACCACCTGAACGGTTGTACTACAGAGTGTCATTTTGTCATTCCAATGCAATTTCGTTCAGATAAGATTGTGTTTCAAATGAAGAATCTTGTGATGCGAAATCATTGTTATATTTTTGCAGTGCGGATCAGCGGTTCACCCAAACATTTGCGATAAATACATGTGTATCATTGCACTAACTGATTTCAAGCGGATTTCCCAATTGTGGTGATAAGTCGGGTACACGAAGGAATCTGAGAGACGAACACAGTACAGTGAATGGGATGTGGTAGATAAAGTCAAGTCTGAAAGTGCTGTTGCCATTCTTTATCCGTTTTCCGACTGAATTTCTTTTTAGGTTTACAAGCGAAAAGTTAAAAGTAATTAATTGTGTTGGGAAAGGAGTGAATGGACCATGAGCTGAAAAAGTATGAAGAGCCGTGCCGCCCTTTTACTCTGACAGGGTCTCATCCGCGATGCGAATTAATCGACCAGACTGAGGATCGAACTCCAGACCCCACAATTGGAATAAAAGAATACTACTCACGCGGACCATTTTTCTATTTGCCTATGCACCATACAGCATAACCCAGCTTTACAAACTTGTTTTGTGCAACACACTCGGTGCATCTAACCACTAACCTTCAGGGTTATGATTCAGTCAGAAACACTCCGAACCTGACCACATGTTATATGGGTAGTGGAGGTAGTGGTAGTGCGTAAACACTAAATGGAAAAAGTCTCATCAGCTTCCTAGTGGTCAATTAAGTAGCATGTTCGATTTCTACTTGCGAACTGTTGATTCGATCACCAGCTGGGTCTGATCTAGAGTATGCAGATGACATTGTGCTACTAAGTGAAGATCCAGGTAAGTTGCAAGCTTTTCTATATAGCTTGAGTGCTAGTGTAGCCATGTTTGATATGCGTTTTGCACCTTCAAGGTGTAAAATGTTGTTACAAGATTGGGTTGGTCCAGCTCCAACCTCACACTGACTGGGGAAACAGTAGAGGAAGTAGACAAATTTTGCTGCCTAGGCAGCTATATCTTACCATGCGGACGCATCACAGATGAAGTATCGGCGCGCATACAAAAGGCTCGATTGCCATTTGCCAAATTGAGACATTTGTGGCACCGTCGTGACATCCGGCTGTTTGTGAAGAGTCGAGAATANGTACTGCTTTACGGTGCAGAGACTTGGCCACTACGGTAACAAGATCAAAATAGATTGTCGGTGTTCGAACACCGCTGACTATGTCGCATTGCACGAGTATGATGTAGTAACTGGACAAGCAAAGCTGATGTTAGGCGTAGGTACGGTCATCCACTAGAGCAAGTAGTCGACCTTCGTAGATTACGCTGAATGGGACATGTGCTACGCATGTCTTCAAAGAAGTTGCCACGGTGAGCGATGTTTCCCGAGGCAAGCAGCGATTGGAAAAGCTCAAGGGAGATCCAACTAAAACTTGGCATGAGGGTATGAAAACCCTAACCAGGAGACTAGGTTACATAGGTTCCGTTAGGCTCCCTGGCTGGGGACCCCGAGGTCATCGTCACCGATGATTAGAGACACTGAACGATATGGTTGGATGTCGCAAACAGTGGCGCTCATGGATCCATCATTATTCTCGTAATTTGCTATCAATATTCCAATCTTCATTTTATCCAAATGGGCAGCCTAAAGACAGCAACCAAAACCGGCGAACAGAAGTGCATGGTTAACGGTTGTAAGAACTGAACTGAACTGAACAGCTGGGTCGATGGATTCGCGCTACTGATGATGCACACGACGAAATCCAGCAAATAATCGAAACATATACAAGCTTCTCTCATTTTATGCTGTATTTCTCGCAAGCAGTGATACCAAACCTGAAAAACCAAAAAAGAGCGGAAGTAGAGACGAAAATCCAGGATATACTTACTTTCTTCACCGTTGGTACGATGTGACGACGTTGTTGAGAGCAAGAAGAACTGGCGACAAGCAATACTATCAGACAGGTTAGGCCCTCATGATCGACAAGAAAACGACCGCGACCAGCAAATGCTGTTGGATACCCTACCAACGCACTGGAGTTCGATGATCCACCCAAGGTGCTCCGTAGGTAACGTATAAATTGATTGATGG